GAATACTATAGTCCTGAGTATGATGACCACCCAAAAGTTACACTTTTCTTCTTGAAAGCCACCCCCATGATAAATCGCGCGGAAAACCTCTGAAAATTGGCTGTTTGCAAGAATCAGGAACTTTCATTGAGATTCGAAACAAAGCGAAACACTGCCCAGCGGCCCTAAGCCCTAAACACTAAAGACGTGTCTTTCGGAGGCCTTGGGGTGGATCATACTGGTACTGCATTCAGCAGAGGCTACATGGAAATGATGCTGGTATCTGTTCAGCTTCTACCGTAGAGACTTTAATGTCCTGCGGGTGGTAACTTGAAATCTGTCAAGTCGGGGAGAGGCATCCCTAAACCCTAAACCACTATAGACCCTCAACCCTAAACCGGGTGGCAGGACCCTGCTCAATGTCGAGTTTTTGGGCTCTAAGGCATGCATCGCCCAAGCACATGAAGCTGCTACACCACTGTACTTGCGCAACTTCAGCAAGGGCTATCTGCAATTTGAAAACAACCTACCGGGCATAATTTTGGCAGCCTTTGTGCCGAGTTTGTCTAAAATCCAGCCGGATGGTTCTGCCACCAGCCAGATAAGTCATTAACAAGCAAAGTTTGAGCGACTACGCCCGTCTCACTTTAGCCTCAGACGCCGTCAACTCATGCCACAAGCTGCTCACGGTCACATGGTAGCTTCCAAAAGCTTGGAGGGTCAGCGGGACATAGTAACTAGATGAAAAATGGGATAATTGGGGTTACAGGGGTTATTAACCTAAACTAGGTCCCCCTGACCCTCCAAGTAGGCCAGGGTCCTGCATCTATGAGGACCCGCAACAATAAAGGGAAGCCACATGGGAATTTTCTTATAGGGGCTGGTACTGCAACAGGCACCCCACTACGAAGCCCGTATTATCATAAACCTAGGGAACTCCTCACATTTGCTATTTCCCTAAATAAGGGGACCCCTGTATAGACCCCCAAGTACTATAAGCCTTAGTATGGGGACCCCCATAAAGGTACCCCTTTCTTGCTCCAGCCCAGGCATTTTGCTCACCAAAGCTGTGGGAGCTTGTCACCATGACGTAGTTTAGGGCATAATGAAAAGAAAATGGAAACTACTTCGTCATAATAAGGTATTTATAGGAATATGGTGGTTTTACAGGGATAACGGACAAGAAAATCGAAACTACTATTTAGGTCTGGTCTGGGGGTTTAATAGGCCCCTCCCAATATCCCACGTGTAATCCCTCGGAATCCTCAAGAGCCTCTTAAGTTGAGAAAGCCAAACCTAACTTAGGCCCCAGACCCCCCCACCCACTCTCCAAGCCTTTAACCCCTCAAACCTAAACTCCTAACCCCTAAGCCCCGCAACTCCTAAACCCTAAACACTAATCCTAAACCCTCCCACCCCGCCCCCACCCCCACCCCCCGCTGCAGAACTTGACTAAGAGCCTGGCCAGCCCCGCAAGGCGGCCGGCAGATCAGAGGTTGGCACCTTGCAGGATAGGTTCAGCACCTTTTTTGGGGGTTTAGGGTTTAGGGGTTAGGGTTAAGGGTTTATTAGGGTTTAGGATTCAGGGGTTTAGGGGCTTAGGATTTAGGGGTTTGGGTTTTAGGGTTTAAGGGGTTTCGGGGCTCAGGGGTTTAGGGGTTCAGCATTTTGGGGTTTAGGGCTTAGGGTAGGTCCTACAGTCGATACAGGATTATGTAAGGGTACTGAAAAGTAAATGGACGCTACTACACTAGAATGGGGCATATGTATATATATATGTATAAATATATAGAGGGATTATAGGGGGTACATAAGGATAATGGAAAGGAACATGGAAACTACGATTCGAGTTAAAGGCTTAGAGTGTAGGGGTATAACCTCAACGGTGGAGAACCGTATGGAAAAGATAATGGAACATGACATGGATACTGGGGTTCCATAGTGGTTTGTAGGGGTGTTGATCCAAAATCCTCTTCCTTGATAAGTGCAATCATGGACGCGAAGTTCCCTGTACTTCCCCGCGGTTGAAAAAGGACCTTTCACTTGGGTGTTTTTTGGTCCCTAGACCCTAAACTCTGGACCAAGTAAGATCACATGGGGCTTTCTCAAGATGAGGCGCCCTGAGCGACCCTAAAAATATGAAGGGTTTAGGGTTTATAGGTGGATCATGGGGGTCCCTACTAAGGATCCTATGGGGCACTCGCATATATTCCTTCGAGCATAATCTCACTCCATACTGGGGACTAGCATCGCGATTGAAAATTCTATTCAATTGGGGGTCTGCAACAATAGGTGTCCCTTTCATTATCGCCAACATCATGGAAATTTCTGGGCCCTAATGAAAAATTTGGAAATACCCACTTGAACTGTTGGCCGCACTGCAAATCACTGGTCAGAATCAAAGGATCGAGTCCGCGGCCTGAAACACAGTCAAGGAAGCCAGGTACCCATTCTGCATGACCTGCTGTGGATGGAGGAAATCTTGCACCACCCCATCTCACCCCAAATAGCAACGGCTTTGATTCCATTCCCACCAGGACTAATCATACACCCCCCTATAATTCTTTTGCTCTCAGGTTCCCCTTAATTGACTTTGATTTGAACTAAGTATCTTAGATAAGGGGAAACCCAGGGGGGTAGCCTAGTGGGAACATGTGAAATAAAGCAGCAACCCACCTCGAAGATCAACCCGGGAAAGGCGTAGAAGTACGTGCTTCCGAACGATGTGTGGCTGTCGTCACGTTGGTTCCTGGATCTTAAAAATTCTATATATGTGTTGCATATGACAGTCTTTACACACATAATCTAAGAATACAATATACGGGTATATACTAATTGTGTTGCTTATAGATGGACTTTTGTATATCTAGATGATATCATACTCGATATGTATATATATATAGATATATATTCTATCTGTATAGAAATAATATATGTATATATAATCTGATAAATAAAAATATATATATATATATGTATAATTTAAGCTGTGATTTTGCATAATCTGGCTTCTGGCTGCAAGGCCCCGGCATGACGAGCGGCCTCGATTTCGAAAAGCCCGCATTTTGCAAGGCCTGCTGTTGGCGGAAACTCTAGGGTTTAGGGTTTAGGAGTATATATAGAGGTAATATCGGGATAATGGAAAAGAAAATGGAAACAACTACATAACATATATGTTAGAGTCTAGGTTTTGGGGATTTAGGGTTTAAAATTTAGGCTTTTGGGACTTAGGATTTTGAAGTTTAGGTTTTTGGGATTTACGGTTCCGAAATTTAGGCTTTGGGGATTTAGGGTTTTGGGATGTAGGGTTTAGAGAGGAGGGTCTTGCGGGTTTGGGGTTTTGGGATTTAAGGTTTAGGGTCTAGGGGTTCCACAAGGACATGTAGGGGTATTTTTAAGTGAACGACGCTTTCCAAATTCAAGTGCTGCGCAAACAGTCTCTCTTCCTGCTTGGTGGTAGGCGCAAAGAATAAGGGAATATACCATATAGGGAATACTTTGGGAGCATATATTCATAGTCCCTTATTCCCTACTAACACCCAGTAGTTAGGTCTTTCAACGCAGGGCAGCCGAACGAAAAGGACAGGCCTCCTCTATATCCGGCCAAAGCCATCGGACCTTTCACAAGTTTGGCCAGGGGTTCTAGGGCTATGTAGGGCTAAGGGCTTAGGGTTTAGGGGCTCTATAAGGGGTCTATGGAGATTTCATAGGGGTTATATAAGGTTCTGGAAGGATAAGCGCCCCAACAATCGAAAATCAAATCGAAAATGGATAATTAAATGGAAACTGTGATTCTATAGAGGTTTGCATGGACGTAAATTTCCCATATGGTTCATTGACATGGGTTCCGATTAGGGAATATACTAGGGCTATCTTCGCCCTCAATGGTATCTTGGTAACCCTAACATGGACAGTAGCTTATAAAGCCCCAAATACCCATACATGCCTCAAAAGCCAAGCTTCCATTTAATTCGGTTCTCCATTATAGTCGTTTACAGTTTCTTTTCCATTCCTTAATATTGATAGTAGGTTGTATGCTACAAGCTTCTCTTACTTGTCTCGAATCTGGGTCTGCTGGCGTCGATGCAGGCACCCGCTGAACTCGGCCTTCGCTTGACAACAATGTGGGGGCCCCGGTGCGCTTCGGTCGAGGGGCCCCTTGTTCAAAGTCCCAATAATAAGGATTATGGGAGTGCATATTGGGGCTCATGTATGGAAACTACCATAAGCCCCAAAATACTCCCCTAAATAATCCCCTATATAACCCCCTTTGAAAGAGTTTAGGTTATGGCTCATATGACTTGCCAATGCCTCAGGATCCCGGAAGCTAGCCACAGCTCGGCAACCAACCTGTCCGTTGATTCATCCTCGCCGTCGGAACTTGCCGATGTCCCTGCGAATGAAACCAAGGATCAGCAGTGACAATCTGAAATATGAGAATAGATCCCATAGCAACAGCACCAAACATAATAGCAATAGAAACTGCTGGTAACCGTACTTGTCATGGTACTGGTAATAGAAATAGAAACAGTCATAACACTTCATCCTGCTGCAAAGTCGTCTCCTTCCACACCAACCAACTGCACCTGCGGATCCTGCAGCAAATGCAAAATAGCATGTAGTTAGGAGCAGTCAGATATATGAGCTTCTGCAAATAAGACCCCGGTGTAGACCCCGGAATACTATAAGCCTTATTATGGCGACCCCAAAAAGAGACCCCTAAGTGTTGAAAAGCCCTAAATAGTAGCTTCCGTTTTCTTTTGCATTGTCTTTATATATTCCCCAGATAACCCCTATGTACCCTTATATAACCCATCAGCTTCTGGTTCATCCAGCCTTTTGAGCATGGTTGCAAACAATTATGGCTGGCTGCGACTCCGTGCAAGCTTTGGACCGCTTGAGCTTCTTTCGAGGCGTCTCAGCAAGACCGAAACAGCTTCTTGTACAAGCTTAGAAACCAATTTTTCCTGCACGACGTCGCAATGCCATGTTTAAATTAAATGAATTGTGCTACACATGCACTAGTGGAAGTAGCTCACGACGGCGAATGTAATGACCTCAGTCGCGGATGCCATGAAGGCCAGGCGGCTAGCATGGTAGAAGCATGCATTGAGGATAGATGCTGGGCCACTGTTGTATTGTTAGGGGGGGGTGGGGGCTTCATGGCTTTCCTAAATGAAATTCTGGGTGGCTATTCCACGGCCTTCGAACTAGTTTACGAATAGGTTCCTTTACACAACCAGAGGGGACATTCTTCATCATCCCAAAACGTCACCTAGAATTAGGTGGCTTGAAGCCCGAAGCCGTAAACCCTAAACCCTACAGCCAAACCCCCAAACCCTACACCGGAAAGCCAAACCCTAAGCCGTAAACTGAGCTGTTTAAAGGAGATGAGGAGCGTTGGCCGACAGAGCTCCCATCTGCCCACAAAAGCCTAGGTTGCAGTTAAGCAACTTTAGTGCTTAGGGTTTAGGGGGAACTTAAAATAAGCTACTACAATTAGAAGGATATATAGCATGTAACTATATAGGGGTATAGAGGGTTTAGGGTTAAGGAGCGTACAATAATCTACTAGTATATGGAGAGGATTTAGGGCTTGGGGGTTTAGGGCTTACTTGAATTAAGTCACTACAATAGCGAAACCCCATTATTTACTATAGTACGTAAGGAGGGGTTAGGATTTTGGGTTTAGGGCTTGCTTCAGATAAGTTGCTATAATCAGGACACCCCATTATTTACTATGTTCCCAGATTACGGTAACTTAAGCTCTTAACCCTAGACCCCATATACCCACATACCCATATTACCCTAGATCCTACACCCTTAATCCTAAATCCCAAAGCGTAAATCCTAAACCCTTGAGTTAAGTTCCTTGACAGCAACCTAGGAGCCCATCGTTGAGGCTAAGTGTTCCGCTGCTTCTCGGCTGCTTGTGAGGCCTTGCATCTCAAGATAGGGGTTTCGGGTTTAGGGGCTTTAGGGTTTAGGGGTTTAGAGTTTAGTAGTTGGGGTTTAAGGTTACCTTTAGGCAGGCTTGGGATATACGGAAATGGTAAAAATTTACCGAAGAATTCTCATGTCCTGTAATTTGAAGAAGCTCCTGTTTTGGCTTCATTCGGGCCTCGGGCTCGAAGGAAAACAGCAGAGACCAGCATCCCGCGACAGAAGAAAAAGCACATCACCACCAGCGGAAGTGCAAATAATGCCTGGCGTATGTGAGCTATGGTCAAAACTCCTTAAAAGGGGGTTATATAGGGGCTTATATACTGGACTATCATAGGCCTTTTTAAGGGGGATACAGTGACTATAGCTTATGTGGGGTTGCGGGTTGAAGGGTTTTGGGTTCAGTATAATGGTTCTACATGCGTCTGCGCTCCGCGTTCCCAGTCCCCCGCATGGCATGGTCCCTATCTGAAGGTGAGGCCAGTTCTACAACCCCCCAAAAAACATGGAACTTTGCAACATCCCAAACCACAGGGCCACAGGCCCTCCAGAAAACTCGCAACACCTTGATAAACCCCCTTGAAAAGCCATCAATCCCCTGTAAACCTCCTATGAAACTCTATAAAGCCTGTGTAAACCCTCAAGAAAACGTCTGTCTCTATAAGTCTTGTAAAAATTCCTATCTAACGTTTAAAAACTGTATAAACCCTCAGGATTCAGAAAACCTCTTAAGCGTATTATCAACCTATTATACAACTGTAAACTTTCTACGAGTACAAACCTTAGTTGTAGACGACCTCTATAAACGCTACAAGCCCTCTACAAATCGAATTAACACCTCAAATTCGAGCCACCAAACCCAGACCACAGGACCTCAGGGGAGGGGGGGTTGGCGAATCATACTCTGTATAAACCCTCAACCCTGAACCCTATATCATGGACCATTGGGAAGGGGACCACGGAATACTGAGGCACAGAAAAGGATGAATAGGGAATAATGGAAATGACAATGGAAGCTATGTAAGCTACTACAGCGTGCAGATGGTGTGTATTTGTCAGCCCGAATCATCCCCGGCGTCCTGCTCGTAGGATAAGACATCAGCTATCATAGAACTGTCCTCAACATGGAATCTTCATTGGTAAGCCCATGGATGAAGCAAATGCACAAAGGCATCCTGTGATTTGAGTGCAACAACACGGCTAAGCATCCACAGCAGAGGCTACAAGGAAGCTGAAGCAGAGGGGAAGCATCACGCCACCCACGAGTGGAAGCTTTTTCTGTAGTGGTCCGCTCCTGATGACAGAAGCAGTGTTGCGATACACAGGAGCCATAGTCCAAACTCCTGGTATCCCCCTTAATAAACCTTATAGTAGTTCCTGTATAATCCTTATATAACCCCGTTTCAGGAGTTTAGACTATAACTCACATGATCATCCCCCGCTGCTTTCGCTTCAACTGATGAATTGGTTGTATCTTTGACTACTTATTGCTGGTCCATCGCTAATTTGTCCAAGTCTCTTGGAGGTTGGAGCTAGCATGCGGCCGCTCACGTCTCCAATGGACTGAAAGATCATCATGTTTAGTAGCAGATGGCATTGCTGACTCTTTTCCTGCAGGACCCAAACCGACACTCTATCACAAATGCACTTCCTTGAGCAAAAGTCTGCACATGGTAGTTTCCCTAAATTACTGTTCCCAAAATAGGGGAAATTTATATAGGGCCCCCAAATATAGGACCCCGTATTATAGGGAATTTAGACCAATACCCACATGGATACTCATGCTGCTGCCAAATCTCCGGGAAGGCTGCAGCGACAAAAGGTAGGATGCAGGGCAATGTGTAGGTGGTGGCATATGTACAGAAATTGACCTTGGCGTCCATACGCTCGCCCGCGGGATTCCAGAATCGACCAAAATTTTCCTTGAAGCCAAGGGTCGGCCTCAAAGAGCAAGATCCTTACTGAGCACTGCAGCAACTCTGGCAGTCAAGGCTAAAACAGCCCTACGCCGTAACAGAGTCGATGCTCGATTATCGATTATCGGGGTAACAACCCCCTAAACGCTAAAGCCTAATAGTACTTTCCATTTTCTTTCCCATTCCTCCAAAGCCTCATACAACACCATTGTTACTATACTGGCCCTTGGTTAGCTAAGAATCAAGGAATCGATCCTTATAGTAGTCCCTATATAACCCATTGAGCAACCCATTATAGTAGTTTCCATTTTCTTTTCCATTCCTTCAGTCCCAGCTAACCAAAGATAACCTCTACACACCCCGCAGCTTCCATTTAATTCTCCATTGTATTTTCCGTTTTTGGGGTGATATCCCCAAACCTTAAACCCCAAAGGTATTTGGGAGTTTAATAAGTTTAATACTCTTCGAGATTCTTCTGCTTCCTTAAACCCTAAACCCCCTAAACCCTAAATCCTTCGAGATTCTTCTGCTTCCTTGGTAGGCCAGAGGACTTTGGCCCGGGGTGATCGGCAGTGTGCGTCGCTTCGGTCGGCTGCTTGCCTGACTCCTCCTGCTCCTGGGTTTAGGGTTTGGGGTTTAGAGTTGAGGGCTTAGGGTTCAGGAATGGATTTCAAGGACTATAATAAGGAAACCCTACATTTTGTTAAGAAGTTTTCAAGGACTAGAATAAGGAAACCCTACTATTTGGTTAAGGAATTCAACTTAAAGGACTGTAATAAGGAAACCCTACCATTTAGGTTTAGGGTTTAGGGTTCACTATATACTCAGATTATGTCAACTTAACCTAAGTTCCTCAACAGCAGCCCAGGCTCCGCGCGCAGCAAGGCTACAGCTTTCCTGAGGGTTTTCACTTAGGATGTAGGAACAGAAAAATAGATTTCATAGGGTTTACGTGGGGATATATAGGGATATGACAGGGAGATAGTGGTGGCTGTGGTACCCAAGAGGTATTGATCATGGAGAGTCATATGGAATACGAAGTCAAACATGAAATGGAACTGCGATTGTGCAGGGGTTGCGCAGCCGCTCTGACAAAAGTCTTGAGTCTTGAGATAAATGGGGGCTGCAAGGGGTTTAGGAAGGTTCTTCTGGTAAACTCCAACATGTCTGAACCCTACTTGGAAGGTCAGGGGGACTTAGTAAGTAGGTAGGTTAATAACCCCTATAAGCCATAAGGAACCCCAATTGTCCACAGTATGAACCTAGTTACTAAGTCCCCTGACCCTCCAAGTAAACCCCAATCATGCAACAGCCAAGAGTCTCATGCATAGGATTGATTAGGTTCAGCAGTCGCTTGCCGAAGCTCTCCGAAACCAGTCCTGCTGCCCAAACCACCGCCGGGCCCAGCCGGTCCTGTATAACCCCTACATACCACGAGGGATATGTAGGAATTATGGGGGGGATCATGGAGGTCCTTATTCGAGATTAGAAGAGGATATCGTACTTTTCATTTCATGTTCAGGGTTCTTCTCCATTTCATTCTCAGTTCGGGTAATATCCCTGTATATATTCCTTACAAACCGTGTCTGGGTGCATTGGCGTCCTGGACCATCAGCGTCACTATACCCCATAGCAACCTGGGCAAGCGCGCTCCCAAATGTCTCTCACAATTTCACCTACAGCCTAGTCAACCCTAAGCCCTAAGACTTAAACTCGGAACCTCAAACCCTAAGCATAGTCGCTGAAGGAAGGCAGTAAGGACGAAGAAGTTGGTCACCCCAAAACGGGGGTTGTCTGCGCTGCGGCCAGAAACCTGCCCCAAAGTTGCCAGAGGGTGGTAGTACGAGCAATAGCAACAACAGTGCTATGTAGGGCCGTGTAGGGATCATGGAGCAATGCAAGCAAACAGGGAAGCTACATTTGTTAACAAAGGTTTCGGTATGTTCGGGATATTATCGAAATGCTGGAGATTAAAATTGAAAAGTAAATGGACAGTGAAATTGGAAATTGGTGTTACATAATTCAGACAGGGATGGGAGTTTCCCAGAATTAGGGTACCATTTGGGGGGTGCCCATAACAAGGATTATCGCATTTTGAAAAGGCGGGGTCAGGAGTGTGTCGCGGAGTGCCTGAAGCGTCGAGACGCCAAGCACCACGAAATTCCCAAGAGACATGCCTCTGGTCAGGTCTTGCAAGTTCTGCTAGAAACATCGTAGAAACACCTTTATCACAACAGTCATGATAGTAATGGCAATAAAAGTAATGATAGCAACAGGAAAAGTCAAGCATGGCAATAATACAAGTTATGATGACACTTACAATAGTACGAATAAACACAACTGTAAAAATATTCATAGTAATACTTCATATCCAAAGGTTGTAATAAACAGAGCAATACTATCAATAAAAATAATTGGCATCTGCACAGCCGCCTACACCGACAGCTTTGGTACATGGCGGAGGATGTCGCATCACCACTGACCTGAGCCAGCTAGACATATCCCCAATATAACTTCCATATGCTTCCTATGTACTTCCTATATGGTTCCTAAACAGTTCCCTATAAATGCCATATGATTCCTATGGAACTCCCATATACTTCATATATAACAGCTATATACATGCCATATACTCCCCAAATATAACTCCTATATAATTCCTACATGATTCCTATATGATTCCTGTATGATTCCTATATAATTCTTCTATAAAGCCTACATGCTTCCTATATTATTCCTATATTCTTCATGTAGAGTTTCCGCCATATACTTTATATATAAACCCCACATCCTTCCTAAACCCTAAGCCACAAACCCTAAACCCTAAAACCCTAAACCCTAGAATCCTAAACCCCCAGCAACCCAGGCCCGAGCCAGTAGGTCAGGTCTGAGAGGCAGCCGAGGCCACCAGCCAGGACCGAAAATCCCAGCCTGGGTTGTTCGGGTTTAGGGTTTAGGGAAACCCTAAAGCCAAAACCCCAACCTTAAGCCCTAAACCCTAAACCCTAAATCCTAAACCCTAAACCCTAAATCCTAACTCCTAAACCCTAAATTATGTACTACTATAATTCTATACGGAATAATAGGGGGAAATGGAAAAAAAAGATCCCAAAGGACAACCCAGCAGCAGTGGGAAGCTGCAGCCCCAGAGCTGGGAGTCCTGGTGGTTTAGGGTTTGAGGGTTTTTTGGTTTAGGGTTTAGGGCTTTAGGATTTTAGGGTTTTAGGGTTTTAGGGTTTTAGGGTTCAGGGTTTTTGGGTTTAGGATTTAGGGTTGAGGCTTTAGGGTTTAGGATTTTAGGGGTTAGGGTTGAGGCTTTAGGATTGAGGGTTTTAGGGTTTAGGGTTGAGGCTTTAGGGTTTAGGGTTTTAGGATTTAGGGTTGCGGCTTTAAGGTTTAGGGTTGGGTTTAGGGTTTAGGGTCTAAGTTTTATAGGGCTTAAGCATTAGGGTTGAGTTTTAGGGTCGAGGCTTGAGGTTTTGGGGTTTTCGGATTCTTGGAGTCCTCGGCGATAAAAACCCCCAACACGGAAATCCTTATGATGGGAATCCCGCAAATGAGTATCCCTAAACGTCGGACAACCCCCCCTCCCCAAACTGCGAGTCCTAGGAAAAACTGCAAAGCCCGGCATAGAGCTACTTGCATAGAACTCTTATCACTGTGATTACAATCAGACCACCACCACCACCAGCACCACCACCCCACGCCGCCGCCACCGCCGCCACCGCCGCCGCCGCCGCCGCCACCACCACCACCACCACCACCAACAACAACAACAACAAGAACCACGACGACGACGACGATGGCGGCGGCGGCGACGACTACGACGTTGACGACGACGACCGCCGTTATTGTCAGTATTACTATCATTACTTACCATCATTATTGCTTGCCCTCAATATTACTTACTCTCATTTTTATTATTACTACTAGTTTTTGGGTAAGTTTAGACAAAGCACCCAGAAGATGGCCAGCAGCATGAGAAGTAGTAGTGATGCCTGGTGCATCCCATTGACCACAAGGTTTGCCTTGCAATTTCAAGGTTGTTGGCCTGAAGAGGCCTGTACCATAAGGGATATAAGGGCTATATAGGAGTATTTAAGGTTTAGGGTTCAAGGTTCAGGGTTTATGTGCAGGATTGGGATTAGGGTTTAGGGTTAGAAGGTTTTGGGATGAGGGTTTGCGGTAGGCTACAATGCCAAATAAGGCCAAAGACACATGAGCAATAACTTCCAAAATTAGGGTCCAATCTTGGTACCCCTCAATGTTCGGTGCCGTAAGTATCTATTTTGAGGATATAGTCCCCTTCAGTATATGATAAACAGATCCCCATATACCCCATATTCTATCCACTTAAGGGGGACTATAACCCACATGTCGTCCCTGGCCCTAACGGCATCCGCAGGATGCCGGCATTCAGACCCTTCCAGTGGAGGCGCATCAAGTGCCCCAACATGGTGCTCAATGACCTTGTAGGAGATGGAGAAGATGTTGCCTGCATGCGGATTAGGGTTTAGGGTTTAGGGATGAGGGTGTTTCTCAAAGAACTGCATGCGAGGAACAACAAAAGCCGGGCCTGCTTGCACCATCATTGAAAGCCTGGGTTGCTGTTTAAGGAACTTAAATCAAGTTGCCATAATATGGGTATGTGGTAAATGATAGGGCTTCCTTACCATAGTAACTTAACTGAAAATCCTGAACCCTAAACCCTGTATATATATATATACCCCTATATAATTACCCCTATATACCCTTATTAATGATAACTTAATCGGAATTCCTTAACATCAACCCAGAAGCTGAGTACCAAGGGAGTCAGCCTCCGGCAGCCGTGAGACCAGCAGTGGAAGCTGCGCGAAGATCGCATTGCCAACCCACCAGCTACCTCGCCCGACTTCAGCTCATGGTAGCACTGTCTAAAGCAAGAGTAGTACTAACAATGACAATAACAATGA